AATAAATCACTTTTTGACTTATCTGTATGGGACGTTAGGGATAGATCTTATTATACCCCAACTTGAAAAGGAGGGGGGATATTTAAATGCTTTTAGATATCCAAATCCGACTTTTAAATCGACACTTGAACTGTCTGCTGTTGGATCATCGACGGGCGCTTTTGCCAAAAGATTCTTGCGCTGTTTTATCTGTTTAAAAAAATCAAATGACGTTGTGTAGTAGTCTGAAGTCATAGTGATTAAACTAAGAAAATTGCACGCTTGCATTAAAAAAAGCATTGATATTAGTTTCTTTGAATTTTAAATTAATAAAAAAGAGCATTTAGATGGACTTCAATACCGTCTCATTGTCATGGATGAATGTTATAAATGTTGACACTTTTATAAACGACACTAAACTCTCTTTACCCTCTACTCCTAAAACCAAATACATTCCAAAAACCTGGCTATATACAGTGAGCACCTTTGAGGAACGCACGTTACTATCAGTATTTTATACACAGTTATGGAATGGGTATGAGGGAAATAGCAAATTTATGGTTCCCCGAGGGAGGAAACTATTTCCCGAGGCGGCGAAGCCGCCGAGGGAAATAGTTTCCTGCCGAGGGGAACCATAAATTTGCTATTTCCCTCATACCCATTTCATAACTGTTTTATTATACCGAAACAAAGTAGATTTATTAACTAGAGACTTATACATTTATAAAACAATATAGAGGCATTTATATAAATAATCAAAAATGCATGTGATTCCAATTTTGTTAAATATAAAATGCATCAAAACGGGGAAAAAATAATAATTTCACTGACATTTCGAAGGATTATCGTTGTTCTCTTTTTGCTTAGAAATTCCAGTATGATTTTGACATCGCATGTCGAAATGTTTTGATGTCATAGTTACATTGCTAATAACAATACGTCACGGACTCGAGATTCCTTGAACGCTCCGCCCACTGTTCATTTTAATTGGTTAAAATTAAAATAATAAATATTCATGAGGGAGTAGTCCCAGGGAGTAGCTCTGATTTTTCAGGGAGTAGTCCTCAGATGGGGGAAATAGTATCTTCTCGGGAAAATAGAAATTGTTATGGTATTAATTTTATATAGAGTAAAAACAGTAGAGGTATAATAAAATAAATTATTCCACATGTGGGTTCAACATAGGTCATACAGGGAAATAGCTCTCGTTTACTATAGGATAACATTGAACTGTTTATACATTTGTAATATTTTAGGTACCAGCCTTACTTTGTACAAACTTCCTACTTTCACACAAGTTGTATAAATAAATATAACGCACAACGTTAGGCTCATAGTAAACAGAAGCTTAGAAATGAATGACCGTTCTCGATTTACTATAGAAAATCATGCATGTCGGCTGAGCCCTGGTACCACATTGTATGGCTTTGCTCTTTGTATATTCATGAAGTTCAGTGGTAAAAATTGTTGAATCGCATGGTTGAGATATCAATTAATGATCTGAGATGAAAAATTTTGCTTTCCTTGATTCTTTATTTTTTCACATTTTACCGGGGCCCGTAAGTGCACTATTCTTTCAATTTTTTTTTTATTAAAGTAAGAAATAAATGGAAACTTGTAATGCACATAATAATTTTTGTTGTTATAATTTCTAATTTTATTGTCCAATTCTCACCCTATATATGTTCACCTCTCCCCTATATAACAACTATGGTACAGAATATACCAATTAAATGTAAGTAATTATCTCATGAGTAATTATCTCACTTAGTTAAATTCCCGTTTTGCAAACATTTCTTCTATGCCTGAAATTCAAATGTGTGCAAAAGGGGCGCAAACCAATCCAAGTTTTCTAGGTGTAAAAAAAACTAGTTAAGATAGTGTGTACATAGCTATATTTGGTCCAGTTAAAAAGGTGTGGAATAGGCAGATCAAAAGTGAAAGTGTGTAAGTTTTATTAGTTTTTTTAAATAAAGAAACATCAGACGTATAATACTACAATATTTAACATATTTAATGTTACTTTGAATGCTTTTTTCATATAAATATACAAATGTAAATATAAACAATAAAAAGTCTTTCTTTCTTTGTTAGTGTGGAAATTAACGTCGCAGCTATTGCAGAAAAAATTGCATTTAAATAAACCTTTTCTTTTTCAATAAACTTATCTTTTTACAGGGCCGCATTAACAGATCCCAGGGATCTCCCGAGGCTCTACTCAAATCTCTTCCTCCAAGGAAGAGATTTAGACATTACAGATGAAAGTGTCCCCACGGAGGGGGAGAGTGCAGGCATATTCATCAGCCGTCTCAATCTTTTCCAAGATGCTATTGATGAAATTTCCTCGTTGGAGAATGTCCGTCGTCCCCTGGAAGTGACATTCAACGGGGAAGCGGCTGTAGATTTGGGCGGCCCCAGGAGGGAATTCTTCCACACGTTCATGGAGGAGGTGAAACACCGACTCCTCCATGTAAATGCAGGTACTATAGAGGTCCATCGTCAAGAGGAAGCACTCGCAAGGCACCATTACTTTTACGCTGGCCTGGTAATCGGTAGGTTATGAATTATATCTTAAATTGTCATTCCATAAAAACAAGTTTCTATTTTCGGTTTTGGAAGAATCATTGTTTCTATCTGCACAGGCCTGAGCGTTCTTCAAGGAGGCCCTCTATTGGGGTGCCTCCAAATTATTATTGATGGCAGCACCGCGGCCCATTCCCAGTTAAGGCGCGGGTTGGAGAAGAGGGATGTCCTTCAGGTATGTGAAGTTTGTGGAAAAATGTCTATATACATTGTAATAAAAAATAACTTGCCGTACTTCCGATGTATGTTTCCAATGGTGTTCACTACTTTCAGCTCATTGAACGAACGAACATTAAATACTTGTTCACAAATGGAACCAACACGCTTAGTGTCTCCAGATTGATGCAGTTGATCCATGTTGATTTCTCAGCAGAGGGAAGCAACGCCAGAATGAAGGAGGAGCAATCCTTCCAACACTTTGTCAAATATCTACGAGAAGTGTACGGTAAGATCAAATATCGACAGGCTAAAAATTCTTGTAAGGAAAATTTTAACAAATGCATAACGTCTGTTTCTGAATATGTTACATGTAAATCTATGGGGGGATTTTTGTCTTTTTCCACATTAGCAAATTTTCTGGTTACCCAATAGCTAACCAATATCTATAGCTAGGACGAATCTTACACATGAGCCAATATAGTAAATAATTCAAAGCAGAATCTGTCAGCGACAAAGTCTAGTTCACCCAGACGCTCGGCCATCTCCGTAAATCTCAGACGAGCAGATCTTTTATCAGTAAGACTGGTATTTCCTGTCGCTATCGTACATATCAGACAGACATACAGCGACAGGGATATTCGATATTTATAGATAAACTCTCACGTGTCCATTGGGATGTACAAACTGTACATGTGTAATTTCAATGGAATTTTTAATTCTCTAACCGAGTTGTTTGGCGCCATTCAGAGAACAAAGGCGGATCCAGAAATTTTTAAACGGGGGAGGGCGGGGTATGTGAGGTGCTTTGAATATCCCAAAGAGGAGGGATAACTATGTAATTGAAAACGGTTTGAATTTAAGGAAACATTTTCAGTAGTACTTTGAAAGTCGGAAAAAGAGGGGACTACGCTTGTAAATTTATTGCTTGAAATTACGTGCATGTTCGTTAAATCTACAGTGATTGAAACGGTCATCTTTTCCGTATAATAACATACATGTACGTTAACTCAAAGAAAGCAAGCATCATTGATATAATTAAGGTGAGGACAACCCTTATGTGAGAAATTTATTTAATAAATAAATGTGTAATTAATTAGTCGGCCTCAAAAATCCGTGCAATTAACATAGAATATACAAAATTTATACAAGATATATACACACATCCCAGCTCCTCGATACAACAGGTGAACTGGGAGTCCCAATTCGATTTCCAGAAATTTATTGATTTTAAATCATTAACTAACCAGCAAGCCTCCGTGTGTAATGGATAAAGTCACGGACTATCAAGCGGGACACCACGGTTCGATCTCAGATGTCGGTATGAATTCTTTTTCTTTTAATCATTTTTTTTAAATTTTGTTTTATTCGAAAATAGATTAATTTAATACCATTATAATAAGAAAACGTGAAATAAAATTTCTGAGTTAAAAAATAAGCCGATTATTCAAAAAAAAGATACAACTGAAAGATAACTGAAAGGTAACTGAAATGTATCTGCCATTCAGTCGACTGAATGGTAACTGGAAGACCACGGAAAAGTCACGGTAAAGGAACTTTTCAGTGACCTTTCAGTGGGCATTCAGTTACAATTCCGTCGACTGAATGGTGTAATTTCATCCTGTGTATTTTAAAATTGAAGTCCCCCCCAATACTGAACTGATTTGTGCTTAATCCAAGCCAGTGTGCTCAGGTGAGCGATGTGGCCCATGGGCCTCTCGTTTTTTTTTTTTTCCTAGTCACATCAACTGCAAAATAGCAAAATTCAACTTAATCAAATACATATAATGTACTAATATCCAGACATGATTAATCGATCAGATCAGTAATCGATCACTAATCGATTGTAATCAAACACTAATCGATTGATTACTTATGGTCATCGATCAGTAATCGATCAAACTCCTCAGGAAGTTTGATCGATTAGTGATCGATTACTTTTTGATCGATAATTGATCGATGAACTCTTTAACAGAACATAAATACAGTAAAATCGATCTGATCTGACACTTGTACAATATATTTCAATGTGACTTCCAACCTTTTAATTTCATTCCCATTTTATCATTTTTAAAATTATAATTAACATAATGTGAATTAAACTAGATTAAAACAATAGCATTGATAGATTCATGCTCAAAATCATAATGCATTTTAAGTCTAATTCTACCAGATAATTAGAAAAGTTAAAGGAATTATTTGCATGTCGATGCCACATCTAGACCAAAATTCAAAAAGTTCAAACATTCATTCAATTTTATGTATTATTTATTTAAGTTTTAGTATGCACAAGTTTTTCGTTTCCAATCATCATTTAGATGGTTTCTGTCTGAAATATAAATAAAATAGTATTTAGTTTTATAATATTTTGAGTAAATGGAATGAAAAATGCCTATTTCAAAATTACCATTTACATGTAAAGATTGAATTATTGTACCTGATGATAAAAACAGTTGAATTTAATTTATAAAAATGCACAAATTTTTGCTCAGATGTGATTACTAATACCTTGTAAGGAACATTTTGCCCACTCAGCTCTTTCATCATCTTTTCAAGAACGGGTGCAGCTCCGTGCACCTCATAAATGCATGGCTGCTCTAGGCCTCCCCCTCTTCTTCACCTACCACCCTCACAGTGTACATCTTCCAGTACTGTAGGTTTGCTACAATGAATCATGCCTAATGAGTGAAAATATGTGCAGCTGATTTAAGTACTTTATAATAATCACACTTAAAAATTCCTTAATCTTGTTCAAAAATCAATAGAATAGGATTTATTTCCAATGAAGTGTTCTTTTAAAGTTCTGTGCCCTTTTGTTGTAGTTTTTTTTTAAACAGAATTCTTAATATTTAAAATATTTTACTGAAACAATTAAGTAGAAGCTGCAACTTCAGGGATGCTTCAATATCTTCAAAATCTAGGTACATGTGTACCCTCTAAATTTTAAGTGTGCTGATAATTCCATGAATAATGCTTTAAAACAAAATTGATTTTAATTAGAATATTTTTGTGCAACTATAAATTCTGTTTAATTTTTTGTACCTCTTTGTTATTAGTGTTTATGCCCCCCACCCCCACTTTCCACTGATTCCACCACTCCATTTTTCTCACCTTAGAAAGCATTTTTGAGATATTTATCAATGCATTAGAAATCTTTACCATTACACTGTCAAATGCTTGAAATAAACATCTACCGGTAATTTACAGACTGACATTTTTCAAAGATACCATCAAAAGTTATAGGACAACTGTTGATTTAATATAAGTAAAAGGAAAATCTTCTGTATGAAAAAGTGTACACATGGTTTGTAGAGTTCTTTTTTGGGAGGAGGGAGGAGGTTGAGGTCAAAGTTTTAATTTTTTGGTTCTGTGACAATATTTTATTTAAAAATGAAGTAAACCACCTTATTTTTTTCCAATACACTCTTTTTTTCTCTAGCATAAAATGAGTGACCAATTTTTTTACCATCTTAATTTGACAATTGTTGAATGAAAGAAGTTTATGATCCTTCACAGAGGAAATAATTAAAAGTATATTAAGTATATTTTAACAGATAATAAAATAGTTAAAGGATGTTCTCCTTACTTTTTGAAACACTAGAATTAGGAAATTTTCTATGGTTTCATTTATTCATGGATTTATTTTAAAAGATGTCCATTTATTATCTGTATGCAAAGTACTTTACTTGAATTTAAAGATGAAAAGGTAAAAGTAATATAATTTATCGAGAATTAGCTGCTTCTTTGAAAGAAAATAAAGATTTTACTGATTGAGTAACAGATAAAAATTGTTTGCAGTAGATTGAAAAATATGAGATAAATACATACCATAAAATCTCATAATAAAACTTTTTTTGGACTGATAATATTTCCACTGTGTGAAAAATATCCTTAATTATTTGTGGCACTCTCCCATAAATATTGTCTTGCACAATAACCTTGAATGCCTTTCCATCATAGGGATTGTTTGGTTCTGGGCACACTTTCATGTAATCCATTCTAACACTTAATTTACTAGCATGTCTGCCTTTAACTGAAGATGGAATGAGAACTTTTATTTTGCTGCTTACTTCTGACATTGTTAACTTCAAATACCTCCACTGAGTATGATCTCAGTGCCACCACCAACTTATCACCTATGTGACTCAACTGTAACACCATAAATCAAGTAGGCTGGGAAAATCTAAGGTTTATTCTGCATCAAATTTTTACAAAGGCCCTCTGAATAATTGACAATCAAGCACAAAAATCTAGAAACATCAAAACTCTTTGACAATCTCCCTTTCTCACAACATATTCACATGTACTTTGGCTATTAATATGATACTTATAATGATCTTCATAGCATAATACACCCATATGGGCCAAACAGTACATAGTAGAGAACAAAGAATGCACATAAACAAAAGCCCTATATATGTGTGTGTGTTGCTCTCCATATATAATTATTCAATTTTTTCTAAGGATGATGACTAGATATAAAATAAACAATTATTTAACATGGTTCTAACTAATTATATATTTAAAAAATAGCATTGTAAAAAATGTTAAAATTCAGTATCAATAGCATTGTTTGTTGTGCATAGTCTATGGATAAAAAAGCAACAAAAAAAGTCTTACACTTATTCAGAAGCAAAAAATATGGAATCCTAGTACTTTTTAAATAATATTGATAATAAACAGACTTTCTAAATGATTAGGAAAAAACTTAAGCTAAGTTGTACAAAGACCAATATTTGTACCACTTGAGAAAGAAAATTTTGATTCTTTTGTTGTGAGTATTGAATGAATTGTTCAATTGTTCAATTTCAATATCTAATAATTATTTACAAAGCTGTCCAGATCATCAGGTATAGAATCCACAGATTTATCCTTTCCTGCTGGAAAATTCCTGGCTCTTTGGTTGTTAAACCATGTTCTGATTTGAATTGTGTCCACATTTAAGGTTTCTGCAATTAGCTGCTGCTTTTTGCTTGAGGGTCTGTTGTCCTTTTTGTATAATTTCAAAAGAACAGCAAGCTGTACAGGTGAAAACCTTGTGGCTGTTTTCCCCTTTCCCCTCGACATTTCTGTTGTTTTACACCCATAAGCTAAACAAAATGATGACATCAATTGTATTGAAATGAATTCTATTACACAGTCAAACCTCGTTATCTCAAACTCAATGAGACCGAGAAAAAAACATCAAGATATCCGAGGGTAAAATACTTAAGAAATACGTGGTAGAGGACTTCCTTATCACTTCGACATATCCACGGTATTTGAGATATCCGTGTTGGAGATACTGAAGTTCAACTTTAGCTGTGCTTGAAACCCTGGTTGAAATTATCACTGTTAAGATGGGGCCATTATCTAATAAATTACACATAACTTTATATCCTCTCACCAGAAAATAACAGTCTGCTCAGATAATGAGCTGTCTTTGACTTATGTCATTTTATTGTGCACTTAAGCCTCAGCATGAGTTGTCTAGACCAAATAATCAAATGCAAGTTTAACTACTGGATATCTGTAGTATTGAACAGTCAATCAAAATTAACCTTACAGTTACAACTTAGAAGTGTTGGCTTACCACTTTGAGCAATATTAAGGAAGAATCATACTTGTAAATAAATATAAATATGCTTGTCTAAAATTAAATATTTGGTGCAATAAAATAAAACATTTCATACCTCTTTGTTGGGTACATTTTCGTTTAGCTTCATTTTGTTTCTCCTCAGAAGACAGCCACTTCTGCATTTCGAAATAGAGCTGTTTTCCTCTGTGGGTCAAGTCTTTTGATGTTTTTGGTCCTGCAGCCTTAGAAAACAGATCACTCAAGTTAGACTGTGAGCACTTCAAAATGTGCTTGGCTGCCATCCTCTGTGATATGCCAAACTTCTTTAATTTCTTCTTAAACAGATTGGACACTGTTTTTATGTCTATATAGTCTTCCTCATCAGAACTCTCTGGCTCTTCAAAGGATTTTGGAGCATATTCATCTCCATCCTCTTCAGTCTCAGACTCTTTTTCTTCTTCTTCCTCCTCTCCTTCACTACTAAAATTAAATGGATCCAAAGTTTCCGAGGAAACAGTAGCGTCTTCCATACCCTGCTCTGATCTTTGTACGGCATTATTTTCTTTGTGTAGGTCAGCGAGTCCAGGAATATTGACGGCTATATTGCTGGAATTATCCGAGTCCTCAGATTCATTCCCTCTTTGATTTGAACTAGGACTAGAAGGCTCAGTGCCTCGGGTACTTTCCTCATCAGATATTGGCCTTAATCTCTTTCTTGGAGGAAATAATGATGGTAATGCATCATCATTTGATGCCTCGCTATCACTGCTCAGAATATTGAACTCTTCTGTACATTCAAGAACATCTAAAACCTCTTCTTCAGACATGTTTTATGAATTTTCAACAAATAGACTTAACCGTTTTGAACCAGTGGACAGAAATAAAAAAAAATGCCTCCTCAAACATGATACATCTCAGATTCCTCCCCCCTAAATCAATTTAATTCAGTGCAACATTTAATGCAATTTGACATTTACCTTTGTAGTGCCTTGATGACAGGTGCTTTCTGTTCACTCTACAGGAAATGGTTGGGTATTTCATCTGGGGAGAACACAAAATGAGTGATGAAAGAAATGTTGAACAATGTCATTGAATGACAAATGTTACTGTTATCAAACACAAATTACTTTACAGTTACTAGATAAATTAAGTTTCAATACAGAGGAGTGATGATATTCTAAATCATTTGTCTTTGACACTGAGATGTGAAAGGAAGTGAAAACATTGTTTCAAAGAGACAGGGAAATGGTTCCTTGGAAGCACCTTTCTGTACAAATGGATCAGAGACAGACACCCTAAGGTTTCTCTAGTTCAACAAATTAAGATTTAATTAGCATATTGACACATCAATATTGCAATGAATTGATCAGCTTTGCTCTCTTCACTTACCATTTGATTTACTCTAAGTAATGCAGTGTTCACAAAACTGTGCCAATGACTGAATTTGAAGATATTCTATGTGGAATTTAATTTTAGAGTGTTTTTGAATGATTGATCATTTTCATCATGCCTGCTTGTATGAGAGTATTAATTTCTGCGTTGTCAACATTCATTTTACTATGCATACTCTTGGAGGGATTTTGTACAAAAATTGATGTTGTAAAATCTGTAATCAAAACATCTGAATTCTACCATCAGGTCCAATTTACAGAAGATTCAATCTACTGCAGTTCATGCAAAGTTACAATATCCCTAAAAAAAACCAACCCTCTCAGCAATGTACTGCGACATTTTGTGTCTGACAATCATAAATTTTGTGCTAAATGGATTCTAACTGAACAGGCTGATAAAACATTAAAGGTAACTTCCCTTAAGCAAAAAACAACATTAGATTCCTTTTTCCTGAAGACCACAAAACAGCCAAAGGACTGTACAACTGTAAAACCTGGAAATATTGTCTCACATGGAAACACCACAGAAGCTGAGTCTCAAATCAGGCTAAAGGAACTGAAGTACAAAGAAGAACTTTCCCTTCAACAAGACAGCATAAATCAATGTAAAGCAGACCATATGTGCAAGAATATTCAGAGAGAGACCAGAGAATTTCATCAAAACACTGGGCACATTGATCATCAAAACAGAATTTATTTTGAATCTGTTACATCAAATATTGGAAGACATATTTCCTGGTCATCTAAAACAATCATTGATAAAATTGATGAAAAACAATTTGCTTCTGACCAAGTGTGGTGCTTTAAAAATCAACATGCAAGTTACTTAATGGAATCTATTGAAAATTCTGAAAAATTACAAGCAACAAATCAGAAATTACTTGAGGTTTACCTTCGTGAAAAATTTCAAGCAATGTCTTCAATTCTTAGTCGTCAACAATATTTTCAGTCAACTTTCACTACTGATCAAATTATGCATTCACTGGGGCAGACTTTGTTCACAGACAACAGAGCTATTGATAAAGATTCCTACATCAAATTTTCTTTATTGCTTGAACAAAAGTCCACACTAGCAAATTTTATGGGGGATTTACTTAAAAATCTGGATAAGAGAAAACCTGTTTGGAGTGAGGCAACAATGAACTTGTTTAGTTTATTACTCAATTATGGAGGACCGGCAACTGTCAATTTAATGAAAAGTAATCTTGGAGGACCAAGCTTATCTCACGTTTATGTACAGGCTAGGCAAACAATTCCAATAGAAACAGAATTAACAGAATTATCATTTAAATCAGCATCAAAGTTTTATCAAAGCATTTTGAAAGATTTAGAATTGAAATCCATCATATTTAGTGTAGCAGTTGATGCAACCCCTGTTTTACCACTAGTAAGAGCCAAAGGAAATGAGCTTCTAAGATTTGCAACCAATTCCAAAATAACAGTTTATTCAGCCGATGACATTATCCAAGCTTTTAAAAATAAGGACCTGACACGAGCACAACAAACTTATGTTATAGTATTAGTTCCTATGCGTTCAGACATCCCTTATTATATTCTGGCAGCACCACCAGTGACAAGAGGTGAAAGTCACAGGACAGTTTCAACCTGGCTGTCTATGTCTAAGCAGTGGGGAGAACTCCATGGACTAAATATTCTTGGATTAGGAGCAGATGGAGATTCAAAAGTTAGGTCTTTTTACCTAAACAGATATTCAAAAACTGATGAAAATGACCATCTTTATACTATCGACAGAGCTGATTTTACATTTGGACTTCCTGTAAGTGATGCAATGTGTATGGATTGTCCTTTTCCAGATGCCAGGCATTTATTGAAGAAATGGAGAAACCAAATTCTAAATGTACGACGACTTTTAATTATGGGTGGGCACTCTGTTCAACTGGAACACTTAATGAAACTAGCTGATTGTGAAGGATATAAACACACACTAGGACTTTGGAAAACTGATATAAGAGTAAATGATAAGCAAAATGTCAATGCTACAATACGTTTATTCCATCCAAATGTGCGAACTCATTTAGAAAACTTTGGAGGTGAGAGATACTCAGGAACTATTACATATTTATATATTGGAAGTTTAATGCATGATTTTTCTTCAATAGAGAACTTTCAATAAACCAACGCATACAGAATGCATGGACACTTGTACAGTTCACAAGGCTTTGGAGAAGTTGGATTAAATTATTAAATTATGACACTGACAAAACCTTCATAAGTGATCAGACAT